GCCCAGGTTCGCCCGAGCCCTGGGAAGCAGGCACGCGAGCACCATCGAAAGGCCCATGTTCGCAAGAGCCATTGGAAGCAGGTTTCACAAAACTTTAGTGAAGCGACATTGAACGCTACAGCTCGGCCTCCGGCGGCCGCGTGTGCTTGAAGCGCGCGACGACCTTGCGCGTGATGTCGAGGTACATGTCCGGGTACTCGTAGGCGAGGTGCGAGTCCACCGCCGGTGTGCCCGCGCCGCGCTCGGGCCGCGCGGCGGGCTCGATCTGCGTGCCCTCGCCCCACTCGTTGAAGGACGTGATGGAGATCATGTCCGCGCCGGACGTCGCGGCGCTGCGGAGCATCTTCGCGTAGTAGCGGCCGTCGGCGCGGTCCCGCGTCGCCGCGCGGTTCCAGGGCCGGACGCGCGTGTCGTTGTAGCCCGGCCCGACGCTCGGCGAGAAGTGGAGGTTCCGCTCCCGGGCCCACGTCGCCAGCTGCGCCCAGTTCCGCGCCGTGCTCCCGAAGGTGAAGCCCTCCGTGGCGAAGTAGGTGTAGAAGCCGTCGAAGCAGCCCTCGTCGACGAGCGCGCGCTCGCGCGCGTCGAGCAGCGTCGCGATCGCGACGACGTCGTGGGCCGTGCCGCGGATGGAGCGCGCGCCGCCCGGGCAGAGCAGCTCGGCCCAGTCCTCCTTCGTGTTGTGGTAGGCGTCGTAGACGTAGACGACGGGCAGCGCGGGCTCGTCGCCGCACGGCCGCCGCGGCATGCGGTGGAGCGCGTCGCCGTACGCGCCCACGAGGTACTCGAGGTCCCGCCGCACGGACGTCGGGTGGCGGCCCTCGTAGGGCTCGAGGTGGATCGCCGCGCCGACGCCGTGCGCCCTCGCGGCCGCGGCCGCGGCCGCGACGGCGTTGTCCGTCACGACGCCCTGCGTGTCCGACACGGCCGCCGCGTCCGGCCGGCCCGTCCAGGACAGCACGGCGGCGTCGATGCCCGCGGCGGCCATCTGCGCGAAGTGCGTGTCCAGCGTGTCCGCGGACCGCGAGCTGTAGGGGCCGAGCGCGGGGTAGAACCTGCGAGGCGCCGTCGCGGCGCGGCGCGGCCGGCGTCGACGCCGCTCATCCGCGCGGCGAGTGCAAAAAGGTCGGCGGCTCGAAGCGGTAGTCGTCGAGGTGGGCGTGCTTGTCCTTGACGGCGCGGTCCCAGTGCGGCAGCACCTTGTGGTCCCAGTGGAGCCACTTGCCGTCCACCGCCGGCACGCCGTACCAGAGGTAGTAAAACGCGTGGACCTACGCGCTGCGTTCGAAG